CACCTAGGGTAAGATTTCAGAACAATTCTGTCAGTGTAATCAGAAGACTGCTTACTGGAAAGTACTCTTCTCAGTCTGCTAAACATGTCAATGGTACCCAACATCTACTTCTACTCAGTGCTATAACCAGACAGTGGCCATTACGTCTCCATAAAGCCAGCTATTAAGTCTCTGGGAGCTAGACTTGACAGGACTAAGGAAAGCTTTTGGAAGAATCTTTGAATGGAAAGAAAATGAGAAGCGCTAAAAAAAGTTATTATTATACTAGAAGCCTGTTTTCCAGAAACCTTGAAAGCAACAAAAAGTAGTCTTTAGGATGAGATTAACACCACTGACTGATGGGTCTTCCTGCTTTTGTCTCCCTTTGTCTCCCGTCCTAGTATGCAATGCAGAGGCTGGAAAGATCCAAATGGCTGCAGGGTGTCTCATGAAAATACCTCAGCAAGCTCAACTTGAAAAGCTTACACTGATACAACCCTGATCTCCTGGAAACCCTTAGTTCAGGCACCAAAATCCTCCTTTGATTCCATCTAAACCAAGTCTCTGGGTTGCAGTCTTCATGCCCATTTTGTAACACGCACAGCACACAATACAATCCTGTGACAGTATTCTGCGGACCTCTCCAATACCCTAAACCTGAAAGCCAACTACTGTATCATATTCATATGCCTATCTCAGATTGTTGAGTTATAATGTAATCAATCCATATGCCTTTAAAAGAAAGCCTACTTCCTCAAAATAAGCTGTTGGATAAATGGAACAATTTCAAAAGCAAAGAAAACAGTACATCAACAGTGCTAGGGAAAGGTACCAGGGACAGAAAGTGACAGGCAAACTTCCCTTCCTTAAAATTATTACAGCTACCTTGCCACTGAACTGTGGGATGCAGGTTTTTCTCTTTCAGTATCTCCACACATTTTCAAAACAGTTCAGGAATTATATATGCAATAATACATGATTTATGGGGAAAAAATATTACTTTTACTGTAGTTAACAATTAAGATTAGAAAAAATCTCAGAAAGAATACTTTTAATCTGTAAAATAAAAAGCATTCCGTTAAGTCTACCAGTAAATAAGACACTGCTACCCTTGTCAGCCTCTGAACTTGCACTCTCCGAAAGAAGTGTCCCAAAAGATGTTACAAAGCCCCCACCATATCAATACCACTTTCTAGTACAGTCACACACCAAGTTTTCTTTAACAGTACCATCCCAGTCCACCAAATAAACTAAAACTATAGGCAACCCTGAAGCATTTAACGATTACAACCCCCACTAATATTCCACTGTTGCATTTTGTGAACTTCCAACATTTTGGAGCACTTACGACAGAAGTCGGTCAAGTTTTGGTCCATTGCGCCCCTGAAGGACAGCAGGTGGCTTGTATACCTTCATTATCCTTACAGTCTATAGGCTTTCTCTGTTTCTGGTGTTCTTGGTCTCTTTATTTATGAAGCAGTGATGATTTTGAAGTTATTTATAAACATTAACTCATTAAATTCCCAAGTGTCATATTAGATACCAACCCAGTGACTCAGATTCCTGACAATATATTTATCACGGCTGGAAGGCAAATTTACATGCACGAGTAGCACACACAGGCATGCCATGAACTAATCTTATATTTTAAAATGGTATTTGACATTAAGTAACTCCAGTTATTAACCAATATGTATATGTCAACTAAGGTTGGCTCATTATCAAACAAATCAGTGGAATTTGTAAACACTGCCTGAACACCACTGTGACAGAATGAAACCCAACCCATATAACCCTTCATTTTTGAGGATTGAAAATGGAAGCTGGAGTGTTTTAAAGCTTGTTATTGCTACACTTAAAATGAGTGCAAGCTAAGGAAAACTACAGTTATCTCTAAGTACTCCCTGAGAGGGAAAGCATACTCCATGTATGTCAAAGTTTATTAGAAGACGGTAACAAAGTTATCATTTCACCAGACAACAGCATTTCAATAAGCACCTATGTGTAATCTTGGCCTTATAAAAACCTCAGTGTTTAAGATAACACATCTGGTCCTAGTGGCTTTAGAGATTGTCTCACTGCACAGAAAACAATGCAGATCTTCAAGTAACAAGCTTTGCAGCAAAATAAACAGTCATATTACTGGTTTAGCACTTTCAAGATATGAGGCATCTAAACCCTTTCTAAACTAGAGAGAAATATTTGGACCAAAATAATGCATTTTTGTTGACTATGACCTAATTTAGTTCTTTAGTTCCCAATTTCCCCAAGATTCCAGAACACCAGTTATAAAAGTGAAGGAAAACACTGGATCAGTTGAAGAGCTCTCTTTAATATGCCATTCTTCACCCGTTACTCCTTGGGCAAAACATTTCTGAGGAAATGTTTCTATTTGTGCTTAGGAAAACCCTGAAGCTACGAGCCATGTAATTTAACTTGGAAATTTGTCCTGCTTTGAGCAGAGGGTTGGACGAGATGACCCCCACAGGCTCCTCTTTTCAACTTTATTTTGTTCTCAGGCTTAGAATAATTCCAGGAAATGTCTTCCTGAACTTGACATGGGAGTCAGTCAGACACTGCTGAATCCAGGTACACTTACTGGGGAGGGATATGAGACCAGTACTTAAAGACAACTATTTTCCAAGTCACATCTTAAGCAAAACCCGACCCTACAGACCCACATTTCACAAGCAATAGACTTAGCAAAGTCTGCCTTTCTACTGATCCACCACAATTCCCTTGTTCCTTCCTACACAGTAACATTTATTCCCTTCTCTTGCATTCCCTGTAGTCCTACTGCTCCCCACAGCAGTCAGTTCTGCCCACGCTGCCTTTACCCTTCACTGAGAATGGAAATGTCACTTGTAGAGACTGTTGAAAGTAATATATACCTAAACCTTTCCTTCCCAACTGTTTACTACTCTTTACATTATGGTAGTAAGACTATTGTTATTACTGTCTGAAAGCTGAAAGACAGCTATCATCAAAGAGAAGTTCCAGCTTAAAGTTAACAAAACTCTGTTATAACCACATAGTTACAGTAGTAAAGAGACCAGAGAAGCATTTGTGAAATGTTTTAACAAAATTACATGTTCTTCTTAGGCTTAATGACACAACAGCAATAGGCTTTCCACAGACAATCTGGCTAGCAACATGACTAAACACTCATTCCAGTTCTCGATCCATTTTTAGGGGAAAATCAAATCAGAACCAGGACCAGACTTCAGTGAGGACACTGTATTAGATGAGAACAAGTAGAGCACACTGATCAAATGAGGAAGCCATAAGAATACCATCTGATAATATGACCCTTACAGACAAAAACTTTCAAGACTTGCAGAGCTCTTAGTATGTGGCAGCACTTTGCTGAAGAGACGTCTATCTAAAATACTTTCTTCTGAAACACTGCTGAGAAGTGTTCAGCATTATAAATGTCAATTAATACAGCCTTCTACAGGAACAGACGGGGAAATAAAGATATTAAAAAGCCACTACTGTAGAACAGAAAAGAATATCAAAAGAAAAAAGCTTTTTAAAAGCCTGTCAAAAGAAGTGACATAAAAGACCTTTAACATGACAGCAGACTTCCACGTAAACACATCAAACAGACAGCTTTGTAATGAGCTTCTTGCTGTTTGTTTTTAAACAAGGGAACTTTCAGATAAAGCGACCCCTGCTCAGATTTAAGAGCATACTGCAGAAGAGAGACAGACAAGCATGACCTATTTTGATGTCAAAACTTTGTTCAACACCTACGGTTAGTTTATCAAATCTATATTAAGAATTATTCTCAAATTAGCAATCTGGCTCTGCTCACCTTTGCATAAACAAACTAAATGCAAAGTATCAAAATAGAAAAAACTTCAGTGCCACTTAGACCAAACATGTTATTCTACCAGTTACCACTGAAAGGTATTAAATGCATTTACACAATCTGGACCACTTCCTATTTATTCAAAGATCCTGTTCCCTGCATCTGTACTGCATGTGACCTAAATCGCTCCCAGCACCCCTTCTGGAAGGGAACAGCTAATCTCCTGGGAGTATTTTGATGGTAAAATAATCCAGAATTGCACCCCAGGCAGTATGCTTGAGATAGCTCAAGGACTTGCTGTTTTCACTAACCAAGTCTGATAGCACTATCCTAGAAGATTTTGCCACCTTATATACCAGACACTCAACCTAAAGCACTAACCCACACTACCACGCAATGAAAGTGGGAATATGGCAACTAAAAAGGCTGTTCCCAAAACTTGGGCACATGATTAACACATAGCAATTATTAAAAGGATCTGGAAAAACCCCTGTATGTTAAAAACACTATGGGTCTGAAAGATACCCCAAAGAGCATGGGACAGGGTACAGTGGCTTCACACTGAAGGGAATGCCAATTCGTCACGGGAACGTGGTCTGCTCCCTGAGGGCAGCACAGACATAACCAGTACTGCTACAGCTGAAAGTTAAAACTACTGAAAGGTTACATAAATTCATACACTAAAAGCAGAAAATGAAGGTTTCTTTGCTAAAGAACTAATACAGCATAGAGGCAAACAAGCTTTCCAATGCAATGTTTGATCTAGTGCATCCACATTCAGGAAGAAAAACTGTCATTCTCCATGATGATTTAATTCTCTACTTCTAAAGGTTAAAAACTTCCTTCCATGCTTGCTGCTTTCTTCTTTCTAAGCATGTGTCAAAAACTGAAGGCACAACAGGCACTGAAAAATTAATTAGTCTGGTTGAAAAGGACAGCAGTGAAATCTTCCAAGGCTTCCCATATGATCTTCATCTCTTTTATTAACAGACCAATAGCAATTTAATTGTCTGGATTGGTGGAGAACATAAACAGGGGATCTAGTCAAAGTTTTTACACAGGAAAGCTGCACTACTGAAAACTACATGCATAAAAATGCTGCCCTAACACAAGGGAGTAATTGCAAGTCCTAGACATCTATTTCTCATCATCAGTGAGGAGTTACTACATTCTTTAATTGAACAGCTGTTCACTTAGAATACCATACCTTCTCTGGATTTCCAATTCTTCTTGTGATGGACCATTTTGTACTTGAGAGGGAAGCTGTGAATTCTGTCGAGGCAATGTAGGACCTAAAAGTCAAGACAGACCATAAATAAATGATCTGAACCTTCAGTATGCAAGAAAGCACAAAAATCAAGGAAAAAGGCCAGCTACCGCATGACATTGTAAGAACTGTTTACTTCTGCTTTTTAAGCCAAACAAGCTCAACAACATAATACAGCAACTGAAAACTGCAACAAATGTTACCTTATATATTTGCAGAATGGATTTATTTCACACAGATGGAAAGGTTTCACAGAAATGCAAAATAAACTTTATACATGATGGAACTTGACAAAAGCTTTAAAAAGCACTCCAAGGCTGAGATTTTCTTAAAACAATGAACAAGTACTCTCAGAGGAACAGAAAAGGCTCAAAAAATTAACACACTCACCTAAATAGAACACTGGAAATGGGGAAGGAATAGTAAAAATAAAAAAAGAAGAACAGGAGAAAAAACCATCAGAAGCTTGGATAAAGCATGTTTCTACAGGTCAAACTTTTACTCTGATTTTAGCTTGTCTGCTTGGATCAAAGACCTTCCTTTTTGGATAGGTAAGTATTGTGTCCGAAGGAACAGAGGCATAATACAAATGTACAAACTGTGCATTCTGCAAAGCACAAGAAATGCTAAAAAGAAGGACATGCATATTCACCTTTGACTTTTACTGATGGGCAATTCCCAATCATAAATCTTTCAAAAATTATATATGCTAGATCTTCTAAAAGCAAAGAGGCTTTTACATTTTCCTCATAAATGCATTTACAGCACAAAATTATTTAAAAGGATGAAAAAGTGTGGAATGGAATACATTAGACCATGAATGGTTTCTGTAAAAATGGGCAGTAAACCAGGAAATTAATATTTCGACTATAGCTACACTGAAGATTATGGAAGTTATAAGCAAGCAGAATTAAAAACAACAAAAATGTATTAAGTATTTTCTTGCTGAGATTCCACCAAACTGCTCAGAGTGATGGAGTTGAAACGAGACCTCCCCCATCTCAAATATCAAACTGTACAATTTGTTTGCCATCTGAACTTGTGAAAGTCATCCAAAAACATGAAGAGACCACGTGTGATATACGGAGACAGCAAGGACAGGTGATCTGCCTCGAACGCGGCAAACAAGTGCCCTGTTTAAAGGCTATACAAAAACATTTACTCAAAACAGCATAGTTTGACCACTGTGGTCATAAAGACAATGAACCCTGAAAATTATAAAGGTGTACACTATCTACTGTACCCTACAAGTAAAAAGTAAGCTAAGAACTTACTTCTAGGAGAAGATAAAAGCAGGGAGTGTACTACAGGGGTTGTACATATTCCTTACATAGTCCTTTCAGCAGGCATTAGGTCCTTGCACTGAAGCACGTGATGTTGCCCTGAATGGACTACTTTTGCTTTCAGCAGGCATTAGGTCCTTGCACTGAAGCACATGATGTTGCCCTGGATGGACTACTTTTGCTCGGAGTATCTCCAAGAGATGCCCACAGATATAAATCTGTATTATTTTTAATGCAAAAGATTTAACTGCAGTGATAATCATTAAGTTATCAATAAGCAGAAACATCTGTTGTACTCATTAAGTTATCAATAAGCAGAAACATCTGTCATATTGCTCATCTGGAAAACACTTCTGCTTTAAAACTTGCACAGTCTCATGTTCTCCTCTGTCGTATCTCCTGCATGACAGGTGGAAGGCTTTTATGCCTGCTAAGCCATGACCACAGCTCCCAGGCAGCCAGGCTATTTGCTGTCTGCACCATGCTGCAGCCTTTCATGGACTTTCAGAAGTAGACACAATCCAGCAGCAGCTGTGTTGCTGCTTAAAGGTGCTACATACCACTATCGCTTGCCACATCTAATATCCTCCCTCCCCTCAGATCTGTATGAAACAAAGAACAGAAAGAGACGGTGATACTATGACCATTTTTCCAACTGGAACTATTTGGTACTGAAAATACAGTAGAAATGAAAATAGCAAGCTTCCACCCATTTAATCTTTAGGAGTATTTAACAAGGGTTTTTTTGAACAAGGTATTATCACACTGCTGTAGTTGAGTGTGAACCGTCAGTCCGCAACCAGTGTCCACCCAACTCTTTCTTTTGCTAGCTTCACCAGCAAGCAACCATCTAGCTTCACTTGCACTGGCTGTTCCAGAGAGCCTATCTATCAGAAACCCTGTTCCCACAGCCTCAAACTCTGTTCTAGAGCACTGTCTGTCAGAAAATCACGTGTCTGCGGAACACAACCTTCAGCAAGCCAAGCTAGCATAAGCTGGCCAACCTACTCCAGTAAGTTCTGTGCTTTTTTCACAGCTATACATTCAAAAGAGTTGAACATAATCACCTGCTAACAACTAACATGGCTGGTTGGTTATTTCTCCTATATTTGTGCCATAAGGAAATGCAACCTGAGTATGCCACAGGCTGTCAAGAAGGAAAAAATCAGCTACCAAGTAATTTGGCATGTTCTCTGACAAATTCCTCTCTGCAAGCAGAGATTCTAAGCAGCACGTTAACAGACATTGGCAAGTTACAGGTACACACCAGGTGGGAAAGTATGCTTTATCCTAGAAAATATATTACAGCAGGCCAAGACTACCACTTTATTGCTAAAACACAACTGTCTGGCTAGTGGAACAGATGGTATAATAAATAAGCAGAGGTAGCTAATAAAAATCTCTGAGGCTTTTGAACACTTCAAGATACTTCAGAAACATCAGCCCCCAAGAGAAATATTCATAGAACCCCCGAGAGAAATATTCACAGATACTGCCTGGAAAAAAAGTCCGATCCTACAGGATCGCTTTATCTTCAGAGGCCAGTACAAGCCAAGTAAGAGACGAGGCTGAATGGTCTATTCATTCTGAGTTTTAAGGAAAACCTAACATCTTTCTTTTTCTAAAGAAAGCACAGATGGTGCACTCCGCAGCACACACTGACAGACAGAGGATATAATTTCATACTAATTTGTTCAGCAGCCATTCCAGTTTCAACGCTTTCTGGTTTTCAGCTTATTCTCACCTTTGCATCATCCTTCCTCTACGACAGTGCAGGCAACTGTGTAGTGAGAGATGGGCTGGAAATCAATGCATTAAAAATCCCATGGAAAAAGCCTGCAGGAAGTGTTTTCACCAGCTAAATCAGAACCAGTTCTGGTTCTTCACACAGTCACACAGACAGCTATGCTGGCATAGCTCAGAGAATGACATCAGACTGCTGGGGGTTGCTTGAACCAAATTAAGCATCCCCAGCATCACCTTTTTAAACCACAATCAGCGCTGTAGTTTATCAAACTCCCTAACTTCATTTTCATCTCCAATTGAGTTCTTACCTTTGTATCTCCATTCAAGAGCTGAATTAATTCCAGTTGTACAACCCTAAGAAAGTATAATCAGGAAGTTGGAGATGGAAAGACATAGCTTCTCCTCCCTTGATGCCTTTTGGTTCATCAGTTCCTTCAATCTTTCAATTACATTATCTGCTTTGGAGCTGTCCACCCAATTCTCCACCCCACTTCTTTTAATGTCACCTTATGTTAGCACCTGGCTGATATGGAAAACATCACGTTCCTATGAGGTAACAGCCCTAAAACCCCCAAGTATCAACTGTTCAAGACTGGAACAACGTCAAGTGCTACAGGTTACACAATGACCTACAACCTGTATCTTCATTTGGCTGGACAAGCTTGCTTGGCAGTCAGACCACCTCCCTCAAAACTCCACGTGCCTTAGGGTTCAAGAAAGCTAAAACATAAAAAACCCCCACTGTCTGTTCAGAGCACAGCATCAGAAGACAAAAATCTAATTTTAGAGAAATCTACTACCTTTAGAAAAAGTTGATCAACTGTCACATGAGAATTCAGTTTGAGGTGAAGATCTCCATTCTTCCCCCAGAGAAACAGTTTATATAAACAACCCAGTAATTAAGAATTCCCACTCTTCCATTTCTCAGTATGCCAGTGCCAAAACTATGCAACATTCCAATTACACAGTTGGATATTCAAATCAAAGTATGACTGACTTTTCAAAGGAAGAATTGACTGAAAGCAGACAGCAAGTTAATTTATACAGGCATATATAAATGGGTATAAAGGTAAGTGTACTGACTAATTATCATCTTTAGAAAAGATTTTCATTAAGGACAGTTTGAGTACACCTACTAAGCAAAGAACACACCCGAGGGAAGAGTTCAAAACCACAACAAAAAGAGGTATTTCTATTACAGAATGTAAGAACTTTAAAAAAAAAAAAAAAAAAAAAAGTGTTTTACTAAATGCTTAAAGGTTTTCTGAATAACTGGAAAGAAGGATTTTTCAGAGATCTATGCTAGGAAGTAATAAGAAAAATAATTATGGTGAAGTAACCTCTTTCACTTGCCTCTGGCTCCTTCTCTTTCTGCTCAGAGCCTGTTCTGCTCTAGGATATGACAGAACGAAGTCTGAGGAGACTCAGTAACTAGCCTTCTGCAGAAGCAGAACAGCACTACTCCTCAAGACCTGGATTTGCATTATGGATTGATATGCAAGACCAGAATGGTCAAAAGTCAGGGCATTAACAAGTGACAAAGCTATTCTCTAGTACTTTTATTTGGATGAATTATCTTCCAGGTAAGACTTTTCTTCCCTTCAAAGATCTACTTCCTCATAGATAGCTACTGTCTTCCAAGTACCTTCAGCTGAGTTAATTTACTCATGACTTCAATTTATTTTAGCTGAATGCTAAATATGCTGTGTGTTCTAGACTGAAAGTAAATGCTTTCAGTTTCACTTCACAGGCGCTTTCGTTACCTGATTAAGGTAATAAAAGGGGACAAGAATAACAAATACATTCATTAAAATACATTTGAACGGAAGCAGAGTCAAGACTCCTATCAATGCCAGCAGAGCCTCCTATCAACACCAGCAGAGCCTTGGAAACAGTGCTGATAACCTGGGTGCTAGGCTTGGCTCAGCACTAACTTGCTGGGTGACCTCAAGCAAGCTTGCTTTTTCCCTCCACTATCCTTTTATGCAGGGGGAGA